TTAATCATATTTTAATTAAATAATGTTAAAATTTTTATCTAAAATTATTCTTTTAAATATCATTTGATTATCGTCATACAATATTGATATGACTTACATGAAATAATTTGATTTCTATTTATCTGAAGAGTTTCTACTGGAATCTTTGGTGTAACAATGACAAGTACACATTCAATACATATAAGGGCTTACATGAAATAATTTGATTTCTATTTATCTGAAGAGTTTCTACTGGAATCTCTTCGTGGGGTGAAGAGGATCCAATAAAATGCTAAGATGGGATCAATACTCTAGGAATAATTATTGATCTCCTTGGATTAAATCTTATTTCAACATCTTCATCGATGTTTGGATTATATGATTGATGTTTTGATTTATAATTAGTTTTGGAGTCAGGACGGATTGAATAGTCCATAACTAAGGGAAGGTTACTTCATTCCATGTAACTATTAGTGGCAACATGGAAGGCCAAAATGTTGGTTTCAATCAAGATAGTTCTTTTAATTGACTGAACAGACTTTTGAACACTAGAATTTAAAGTATTTAGAATTCTAAAGTGAATTCTAAACACTAAAGTTATAGTTTTGATTCGGGGAGGAAATTATAACCATGTAATTGTAAGAAGTTTGATCATTTCAAATAGGTTGACGTCTGTCAAAGATAAACTTAAATTAGGAAAGGTGTCGAGATAGACTGGCCCGTGGCACATACTAGTTTTTATAATACCCATGAGAGATTGTGAGCCCATTTGAGGCATCTACCATCTCTCAAACAAGCAAGTAGTGATGCACTCAAACCTTTTAAGGTGAGTGGTTTAAATGCAATTTGAATAAGACCTATTTGAATATATTTGAAATCTCACATATATCTACTTAGGTATTCTTTTGTCAATAGATAAAATATTTTATCAACTTGAGCTATTGTGATCAACTGTTCTGCAGGCTTAATAGAGGTTTTTTCTTTAAATTTTTAGGTTTCTTTTTTTGTATTTAAGAGATTTATCTACTTTAAGTGTTGACTATCTATTTAAGTCTTCGTAATTAAGTGGGTCTTATGTCATTTCGACATTTTTAATTAATTAACTATGCCTCATGGAGGAGGCTCTAGTTAGAATAGAAAAATTCATATTAGAACTCGAAAACGAAGCCATGAAGAGGGCAATTGAGGGCTCTAATGGATGGGTCATCATAATTATACACTGCAACACAACAAAGTAATGTTATAATATATGCAACATGATTCAAACAAATTAGTATTGATTGTGTACTTGTCATTGTTACACCAGAGAAGTGAGGTTTATTTCATCTTCCTTTTGAGTGACAAATCTTGCTTACTCAGGTTTACAGACTACATACCACTTTCATTGAAGAATTATTCAGATGTGTCTTAATCAAAAAATTAAGTTTAGTGAACATAATATAGGATTTACTGCCCTTCACATACATAAGCGGGAATTAACACCTAGATGATGCAGAAAACTCAGGAATTCTGAAAAAAAGAGAAACATGTGCATGTGCATCCAAGATAACATGACTACCCGAAGTATTATTTCGTAATAATATTACTACCAGTCAAGGGTTTACAAAAGCCTTGAAGCTTTAATTTGGTTATTTTCATAACATTATTACTTCAAAATATATGGAGCATATTATTATAATATTCATTAGAGCTCTCTCAGACCTTTCAACCTGACATGGCTCTGATATCAGATAGCCAGGTAAATAAAAGCACATTAATAAAACTAAAATTTAATTAAACTTAAAAACCTTTATGGTGGAAGCTTCATACAAACTCTAAACGGAGGAGTGCATAGTAGACTCTTAGACTAAAACACTTAAAAACTTGCACACACAAGAGATACAAATAAGCCCTATGTCTGGAGGCTGACTTAGACTTCGGATTTCAAACATAATACAATATAATTAGTTAGATTTCTTTTAGCGAAAGAAAAACTGTAATAATATAACTTTAATAAAAGTAAAGATTTATTTTTGACTAAGAAAGAAGCATAATAATGGGGATAACTTTTTATAAAGACACTTATAAAGTTATTCAGTTATGACTGCCACTCTTTGATTAGCTGGCTTGTCCCTTGTGGCTGTCTTGGTTATCATTGTCGACCATCAATTCTCCATCAAGTTACATACCTTTTTCGTTTATTTCTTGAAAAAATATTAAAGTTTTGAATAGTTTTTGAAATTTATTCTGGTAAATCTCCATTATACGTCTCTGGATCCATTTATTGCTTTTATGTAGGTATTTTTTATGAACACCTTCATAAATTTATTTGATTGATAATCTGTCATTAACAGGTGTTGTTTTAAATGTCTGAATTATTGACTTAATTTGATTTATTTTCTCATCAATGTTAAATTTGGTCCATCATTTGAGCAAAACTTTTCTTTGAAGACAAAGATGATTGGATGTATCTTTTCCCAGGTTTATAAACCAGGGCTAAACCTTAGTAGTTTGACAGTTTGTGTAGAAATAAACTAAAATTTGTTCTTGTAATAATTTTCATGGACTAATGTTTCTCATTTTAGGAGAAGCTTCAACCCATTTAGTATAATAATCTTTTAATGGTTCGGGAAGAATGTCATAATTCGCCCTAAAATATTCCCATAATTTGTAGAACCAAGTTAATAGTTTGTTGCTAACAATTTCTTAGATTACAATGATAAACTAGAAATATTTTTGTAAATGATAGATATGAAACAAAAATCTTCATCATGGCTTGGACATAAGTCCGGTAGTTAACTACAACTTTATGTTGTAAATTTGCAGCTAAATAAATTAGTCTTTTATGCAATAGACTTAAATCTCAATCCTTATAATGAATAATTTTTTGTACAATACATTTCTAATTCAAAATTGATTCTACTACATCGTCTTTGGTATGTTCAAATGTGACTTATTTGAGTTGAATTAATTTTTTTCATAGGTTTCTCTTTTGAATGATTCATAACAAAACGAGTTATTTCTCAAATATCTTTCAAATAAAACATTTGAATTATTTATATGATAATTCTCGAGATTAATGTCAATATCTAGTTTACTTCTTATGTAACGTAAACCGGATCTATTGCTTCGACTTCTTTTAGGGAAAGTGTTGTCTGTGGATTATCATATAAGGTGTGTGGGAGTTAACTTGTTTTCTTATGAATATTTCACAAGAGAAACATGAACAAGTTTAATGCAACTTAAATGTTGCACCGTTGAGCATATTAAAGACGATGCGACACATTCAATTTTGTATAGTAAATGTATTGTACAAAAATTATTCATCATAAGGATTGAGGTTTAATTCAATTCCAAAAAAGATTTATTTATTTTAATATAAATTTACGACATAAAGTTGTAGTTAATTAGTGGACTTATGTCCAAGCCATGATGAGGGTTTTGTTACCTGTAAATCATTTATATAAAAAATATGGTTTATCATTATAACTAAAAGACTGTTTGCAACGAACTACCAGTTTTGTTTTACAGATGGGGGGAATATTTGGAAGCAAAATTTGGCTTTCTTCTCGAATCATTAAATGATTGTTATATTTAATGGGTTGAAGTTTCTCCTAAAATGAGAAACATTAATCTATGAAAATAGTGTTGAAAGTAAAAAATATATAGGATGTGTGTGGGATTAACGGGACATGACTTATATTACTCGAGCATGACGAGGCCTGAAACATTCTTACTTTATTGCTGCTTCCACTCCCTTTCCCTGTTCCCCTTGCCCATGCTATCGATCTCCTTTAATTTCTCAATCATTCAATTTCTTGGGTATTTAATTCCGCTGTTTTAGGCTTGCTTTTCCTTTTTTAAGTGCTGATTTTTTTGTTGTTTTTGTTGGAAGAGATGATATGTACTTTTATTGATAAAAAAAAAATGAAATATTGACTAGGCCTGAAACAAGTTACTTTATTGCTGCTCCCACTCCCTTTCTCTGTTCCTCTTGCCAATCTTATCCATCACCTTTAATTTCTCAACCTCTCAATTTCTTTGGTATTTAATTCCACTGTTTTAGGCTTGCTTTTCCTTTTTTTTTTAAATTCTGATTTTTTTTTGTTGTTTTTGTTGGAAGAGATGGTATGTACTTTTATTGATAAAAAAAAATGAAATATTATGCATGTCCTACAATTTCCAACAATCCTTGTCTTGCTTCAATGATGAAATTATTTTAGTTGAGGCGAAGTTCTGATGAATTAATAACATCTGATTTGATCGGCATGCAGCTGGATAAACCCTTGATGTTGTTGTGCTGAAATTTTAGTGAAATATTATTACCGCTTAGACTAAAAGGAAAATTTAATAAGATGGTGGTGAGACCTGCAAAGCTCTGTGGCATAGAATGTTAGCCTTTAAAAGAGAAGCATAAAACAAAGTTAAGTGTTGTTGAGATGGGAAGGAATGCTTAGGTGAATGCTTAGGTGGATGAGTGGCTTGACACTTAGAGACAAAATGCGAAATTAATATATTCATGATAGGGTTGGTATGGTTCCAGTGGTGGGCAAGATTAGATAGAATCATCTTAGATGGTTTGATCACATTAAATGTTGACCATTTGATGATCTTGTTAGGAGTAGATGTTTTAGATTCCACTTATGTTAAGAAAGACAGAGGTAGACCTAAAAGACTTGGGCATATTGTATAAAAAATGATCTTAATCTGTTAGAGTTAAATGAAAATATGACACTTAATATGACGCAATGGAGAAAAAGGATTCATGCAGCCGACCCCACTTAGTGGGATATAGGCTTGTTGTTGTTGTTGTTGTTTGTTGTTGTTGTTGTTGTTGTTGTTTGTTATGGCTTCAGAGAGTTGTTTGATGGTTTTTTTATTATCAACTATGTAGAATTGCTTCCTGCTCTACCAATGCCTGACTGGAACTTGTTACTCTTTATCTTTGTTTGGTATCACGGTCGATAATTGTTGGTTTGAATCATTCAACAGTATTGCTTTGCACTTCGTTTCTTATTTGAGTACAAATTTGTTGCGTGCAGATGTTGGTGTATGAGTTCATGCCAAATGGTACATTGCGTGATCACCTATCTGGTGAGAATCACTTGTTCTTTTAATTGTTTCATAGCCATTTTATGAAATGGGTTGTTAAAAAAAATAGAGTTTTAATTTTGATTTCCTCTTTTTTTTTTTTATAAATGTACCCAATAAATTCTCTTCTTTTTTTTCAAAGTCGGATTTTGTGGTATAACAGCTAAATCCAAGGAGGCTTTGAGCTTTGCAATGAGGCTGAGCATTGCGTTGGGCTCTGCAAGGGGCATATTATACTTGCATACAGAAGCGGATCCCCCTATTTTCCATCGCGATATCAAAGCAAGCAATATATTGTTAGATTCGAGGTTTGTTGCTAAGGTTGCTGATTTTGGACTGTCACGACTTGCACCAGCACCTAATATTGAAGGTGATCTGCCCGGTCATGTGTCAACTGTGGTGAAGGGTACCCCGGTAAGGTTGATTTAGTTGTAGCTTTTTATATGCTATTGATTTCTTTATCATTCTAAAGTTAGTTTGATATTTTTATAGTGTTATGATTTAGTTATAATAGACAGGAAGTAATTTTATAAAGTAAAATATTTTATAATCAGTCAATGAAATAAGCACAATATCAAACAATTTTAGAAAATTGCAAAAGAGAGAAAATAAAATACACCATCAAACATAAGTAGATGGCAATGAAACAAGAATGTTGAGGATATAAGTGTCCTAAAAATAAAACCATCTCAACATGGTGAAATTTGGTTGTCATATGCTCCTTAATGCTATCGAGCTTCCAAAACACAAGCTTACCTTAAGAGCCTACGGATACAAAGCAAGCCTATTCTTGAGAACAATGTCAGAGAATCTGTCCTGACATGAAATATTAAAATCTTGAAAACTAATATACATAAAAAACCAGTTAGAAATTGTTGCTTCAGTAGGAATAACAGCGAAACCTTGTCAATTTCGTTTCCTCTAGTGTAGATAGTTCCATGTGGCATACATGGTATCAACTCAAAATTTATTTGTGGCTATATTATTCATGAAAAACAAATTTTTTAATCCTTGTATTCTCTTAAGCTTACTTGCAACTATATGCTTCATATTTTCTTAAGGTTACTTGTAACTATGTGCTTATAAATGTGATTTCTATGCAGGGTTACCTTGACCCAGAATATTTCTTAACTCACAAGCTGACTGACAAAAGTGATGTCTACAGCCTTGGAGTAGTGTTTTTAGAACTATTGACTGGGAGACAACCAATTTTGCATGGAAAAAATATAGTTCGGGAGGTATGCATTTCTTTTGTGCATTTTTCATGATTATGTCCTTTTTTCTTTTATTCAGATCAGACTGCTAGTTCGACCGGTTTAAATGTAAACCGATTCTCTAGCCTCTTTGACCAACTCAAAAATGGAATTCTCACAAAACCAGCTAGAATTGACGGTGAAAAGTCGACCAACTTGTTCTAACATTGATCTTTTTTTTTAGTTTTTTTTGAATGGCTAGAAATAAAAGATTTATATTAAAAACAGAAAAACTAATTAAATATCATGTCTAACATTTTGACTTAGAATAAAATTCAAAATAGAGGTGTAACTGAGCCAAGCCCTCTCGTGAACCAGCTAGAGCTCGGTTTGTTAAGTGGCTCGTGAATGGAGCTCTATGATCTCACAAGGCAAAAGCTCAAGCCAGTCTCAACTCGACTCCTTGGCTCATGAGCAGTCTAGTTAAAAAAATAATTAATAGAAAAAATACTCAAAATTTCAAGGCTTTTATATTTAAATTATTAAAAATATTAAAATGATATTTTATTTTATATTAAATTATTTCTTATTGTTTATCTCTTAATTGTTCATTCTATTTATCATTTTATAATAGTGTTATAATAACACTAGTTTAAATTAATATTATTTTCTCTCTTTTATATTAATCAAGCCGGCTCAAACTCGTAGAATAAAGCTCGAGCTCAAGCTGATGCCAGTTTGATCTCTCAAGACCCGTTTTACACTTCTAATTCAAAACATTCAAGAGTAACATGTCTTGGATTTCAATATTATTATATATTAAATTGATAAAAATATCATAAATGCATCATCATGACATCATTTAAACCATATTAAAATATTCTTAATATTTATCTCAACCCGTATAAATATTCAGTACAATTTCGCAACCTCGGAACATACTCAATCTAGATGAAATACGAATAACTTAACAAGACATTTTGGCATTTCTTCAATATAATCATAGACCAACATGCACTCTCATGTTTGCAGGTTACATTGGCATATCAGTCCGGCATGATTTTCTCAGCCATCGATAGCCGCATGGGTTCATACCCTTCGGACTGCGTCGAGAAGTTCATCTCATTGGCTCTTCGGTGCTGCCAAGATGAGACTGATTCGAGGCCTTCTATGCCTGAAGTAGTCAGAGAGCTCGATATCTTATGGCGCATGACTCCAGAAACAGATACTTCCCCATTAGAATCTGTGGTTGGAGGGTTTAAGGATGCGAAGGCGGTGCCGGAATCATCATCGCTGGTGGAAACTCAGCCTTACGTGTCGTCCGACGTCTCCGGCAGTAACCTCATCAGTAGTGTGATTCCTCCCATTACTCCTCGCTGATGAGTTGTATAATTTGTAACGTATATTTTTCTTTCTGTAGATAAAATGAAAATATAGTTCAGCAAGCATTGTTTCTGTACAATTTGTTGTGCTGAAATTCTGTGCCTAGAGGAAAAGAATCAGATCTTTTTATTCTTTTTTTAGAATTTTTGTTATGGCTGATAATCATACGAACTGGTGTTGTGTATTTTAGTAGTGAGATGGTTTTCTCAGTTTTAGAGTTTGGAATGTTTAGTTTTGCTGTGTATGATGTATGATTGGTTGATTTATGGAGAATTTATGAAGTTCATTTTCTTTTTCTTTCCTCTGAAACTTTAGGTGGAATGATGAACTTGTAGCACTGTTTTGACTCATAATTTCTAATTCAAAATAACATATTATATATATTTATCGTTTGTTATTATATTAATACATATCTATATTTTTATATAGATGTCAAACAAGTACCATTTTAAAAATTTTATCAATTAAAGTATATCAATATTAATTATTTTTTTCATTTAGATGCGCGAATACCTTAGTGCCGTCAGTCAGTGTTATAAGAAGATTAATTCTATCATAGTCAACATGCACATATAAGTAATTTATATAGCATATATTACTCGCATGTTCATTTCATTCAACTTCATAAAATTTATATATTTTTAAATAATACATTGTGATTATTTTACTAAAAATGTATAGTCATCATAACGATATGATCGACAAATAGAAAGAACATATAAATCGGAGGATAATTATTTAATTAAAATTTAATAATTATGAATGAATTTGATTTTGATAAGACTAAAGCATGGTTTAAAAATAAAAGTGCTTTCCTCAAATTAAGGTGCCTTGTTTTTATTTTTCTCATGCTTTCACTACTTTCAATGTTAGTCATTGTTATCATTAATATTTATAGTTGCTTATTCTATTATTAAACATCACTTTTTTCTTTATAAATCGCATAAATTTGACTAGCCTATCTCACATAATTAGGATTTGATTTTAAAAATTATTAAAATGTAATCAAAAAGACAAAAAAAGGATATTTAATAATTGAACAATAAATTATAAAATAATAATCATAACAATTAGGTGCTCTTTTAAACCTAAGTTTGGGATGAGTTCTCTTATTTTTAAGCTGTAAAACTCTAAACCAAATTCATTTATTGTTACTAAATTTGATTGGACAATTCTTTTTTGATTATATGCACATTTTATTTTCCGGTCACATCATTGTGATGATCATAAATTTTTAATAAGACTACAATTATGCATTATTTAAATGCATGTATATTTGGTCAAGTTGAATGAAATGAATATATGATTGACGTTATCACGGTTTATGCATTTCCCAACTTCAGCTTATATGGCCTAAGGATGTTATTAAAACTCCTTACTATATCCAATTTGACCAACTACAACCTATACAATCTACAACTCATGCACTTCCAACAACAGGCTCTGTGACCTATAAATGTTATCATAATCACTACTATAATTTATGTGACCAACTACGGTCAATGTGACTCGCAGCTCCTTCTTACAACATCTATAGCCAACTAACGCTCCTAAAGCAGCTATCCACGACCCTCATGACCAACTGCTATCGTGATTTTTTACTACGAGATCGATGACAAGCTAGCACTACAATCACCATCTACAACATTCACAATGAACTACTATCATAACAATCAACTAAAACATTAGCAGTCTATTTCAACTATTATTACTGAAATAATATACATCAAATTTATTATTTCATTTTCTTTAATTCAAAAGAAAAGTGTGCATTGATAATCACCAGTGAATTATTAGCTTAATGGCTAGATACATTAAAGTCAAATTAAAATCCTAACAGCGTTTCTTCCACAAATTCACCAAAAATATCAGCAGATGCAGCATCTATAAACTCCTGCTAGTTCTTCTTTAATTCTAACGCCAGGTCGCCGTTAAGCGACATCTGGTTTGGTTGACTTGTTCTACCAGGCTCAGATCTTCTTCTGCAATCTTCTTCGCTTCGAAAATCCGCTGAACAAAGTTGACTCCCTCACGGTAAGCTGTTTTCAGAGAACTTGTTTTTCCGCTGGTTTTACTCCTTTCCTTCGTACAATTTCTACCACGCCATTAATTTATTATACCTTTCTGGTATTTTATATAATATTTTGCCGTTACTTTGTCCGCGTTTTATCTTTCCATGGCGATCGTGGGGACGTGAAGTCATCTCCTTGAAACAGGTCTTGATATATTTTTTTTTGCAATTCTTGTTCATTGGAGAGTAATTCTAGATTTTTTGGAGTTGGTCCTTCTGCAGAAGCCGAACTGGTCCGATTAGTCGATCGGTGTTAAGATCTTCGAGGTATCTTGTTGTTTTAACCGTTGTTCTAGGATTTCGATTTAAGTAGGGCTAGTAAATTACGGTAACACGCTGGCCATTGCCTTTCTCCTCCTTCCGCTCGTTCCCAAATTTAGGATATATCGACCAGTCGTTGCTGGATAAGGAATCGACGGAACCATCGGCGTGTGACGGATAGAGGGAGGAGATCGGCGGTGGGGGCTTTGGTGCAAATCTCCTAAATCCGCTGAACTACCGGCTTTACTGAATCCGCGATTTACACCGGAGCGTAGGTGAAACATCAGTTTGAAAAGGATTTATTTTCATCTTTGTGACTATTTGGCAAGATTAACCGTAAATTCTGGTTAAATCCTGCTATCAAGAACCCCCTAAGGGTTTTGTGATGATATATTAGTTGTAGAGATTCAAAAGCTAGGGTTTTCGGAAATTCTTTTGTGAATTTTGTTTGTTGTGTCATCTCATGTTGACTTGAAGAAAATTGCTTTTAGTTTTCATATTCTAGTTGTCAGGACTGAATTTATTCTGCGCATCTTTTTGTTTAGAATAGTATCATTCTTTTTAGATTGTTATTTACTGTTTCTTCTTTTGATGAGTTATTTGATTTGTTATGCTATTTAGATCTGTAATTATCTGTTGTAATTCTGTCTAATGTGCCCTTTTCTTTCCTTATCAATTTTGCAGCTAATTCAAGGACCTTCTTAGATTATAAGAATAAATTGATTATTGCTACATTGCTCATCAGATTGAGGAGCTCCATGGTTTGGCTTGGTTTCAAAATTTGAAATTTTTTTCTCAAAATCTTCTATAGTAGGTCCTAATTTATCGGTATTTAAGCGTTTATTCTTGGTCTCACCTGCTTTATTTTGCTCAAAGGCTTAAAGCAGTACATAAAGTTATAATTGGAGTTAATATTTCTATAAATGAAGGTATCATTTGTGCTAAATTCAGATAAATCCTCTGCGACATTGCATCCCCATATATAGTGTTCTATTTCACCAGGCAGTGTTCATGGCATCAACATCAGGGAGAAGAACAGATTCAGTCAAATATGTGCTTTTTATATATGCATGTGAGGATCATGTAGTGCTTTGTTGACCTAATTGCCTTAAACAAGGATCTTCTTGTTTATCTTATGGATATTTGACAAGATTAATGCTTTTGAAGAAAGGCAACATTTAATTTCATCCTGTACAGAAAGTCTGAAAAGATGGCCTCAAGTTTGCAAATTCTTATTTCGTCATTGCTTATAACTATTTTAGCAAGTAGTTCTGCTATTGCAAAATCAGACATGATAGTTCAAAGGACGATAAGTGCTCCTCGGAGGGATATAGAGAGCACAGTTATTGATGGGACGGGCAAAGAGGTTGGACTTCATAGTCTCGGGGTTCTTTTTGAAGGATTTGATGAGAGGAAAGTTGGTAGCAACAAAGTTTCAGTTTTTACAGTTGCTTGGCTTACCCTTGCCATGGCTGCTGCAACAGGCTTGGGTGCAGTTCCTTTTTTCTTTGTGGAGTTAGAGCCTGAATGGGCAGGTGTTTGCAATGGTTTGGCTGCTGGAGTTATGCTGGCTGCTAGCTTTGATTTGGTGCAGGAAGGGCAGAGCTATGGTGGTTGCAATTTGGTGGTTATCGGAATTATAAGTGGAGCGGTTTTTATTTTACTTTGTAAGAAGGTATTTATCCGTGCTTTTGTTTCATTTTATTTATGGGAAATTTTCATACATAGCACTTTGGTGCTTTAAATCTATGCATGAAAATGTGTATTTCACTTATAAATAATGATAATAGTGCTATTTTTTATGTGATATTGAAGATTTGAGTGCTATGTGTGTACATATGAAAGTTTACGTTTGAGGTATGTAAATATATAAGAATTGTGTGCTATGTGTAATGCCCCTTTATTTATTTATTTATTTTACCTTTTAGACTTTATCTTTGCAAATTTTGTTTTCAAATTTCTTTCGTTATTCCATAGCGTTAATATATCCTATCATGCAGATTGATTAGCTTTCTAGTATAGCTTCTATTAACTCCACAAACTTGTCTCTAAAGTAGCAAACTGATCAGACGGCTTTTTCGTATAGCTTTAGTTTCTTTGAATCATAAGACCAATATACATTTCATTTTCAATCCTATTAATGTTGTATTCCAAACTCGGTTTCTTGTGCATCTTTTATTGCATTTCCTTGCAATATGCTTATTGCAGGAATATGCAGGCGTTTTCATTTTTTTTTCCTTTTTATAAATCCAATGGCCAGGCACACACAGTGTCACCCGCCTACCCCAATGGAACTTATCTGTTTAGAATACTGAGGTTAATGAACAAGACAATAGGTGGTTGCATAAATCCATTTATTTCCTCATGGTGTTCTTAAAAATCACTACGATTCTATGAGAGGTATAACAAGTTATGCTTCCTTGTATCAGCTGTCATGGGTGCTCTAAGTTTTTGAAGGGATCGATTAAGCTTTATTTTTGATATATAGCTTAGTGTCACTTCCCAAAAGAGCTCTTAAGAGAGGTGGGCAGCCCAGGACTTAAATACTGTTTTCGGCCCTACACCTAGCCGATGTGGGACTATTTGTTCGTGACATTCTCCCCCACCCCACCCAATCACGTGACACCCCGTCACGGATCGGCTCCACCGAGGGTCCCACTGGACCATGGAGAGTCTACACACCTGGTAGACAGTAATCTGCTCTGATACCACTTGTCATCTCCCATAAGAGCTCTTTTGGGAGGTGACATTAGGCTTAGTCTTTATGTGATTTGATAACCTTTTTGCACGTATATCTTTTACTAAGTTACGCGCTACTGCCATGTTTTACTAGAATTATGGAATGCATCTATTTTAGAGGACTAGAGGCAATCTGAAATTATGCTGAAACAATTTCTTTCCAGGTTCTTGAAAGATTTGGTGAAGTAAGCATGCTAGACATAAAAGGTGCTAATGCGAGTAAGGCTATATTGGTCATTGGAATAATGACATTGCATTCCTTTGGCGAAGGTTCAGGGGTTGGGGTGTCATTTGCTGGTTCAAAAGGGGTTAATCAAGGACTTTTTGTGACTCTAGCAATAGCTGTGCATAATATACCTGAAGGTTTAGCTGTTAGTATGGTTCTTGCATCACAGGGGATCTCCCCTCAGAATGCCATGTTCTGGAGTTTCATCACATCTTTGCCTCAGGTATGTTTATGGTTCTGTTTATATCTTCACTTTATGAATGAATAAGTGAGTTTTCAGAGTGTTGATTGTCATTTAAGTCATCATTTTGCTACCGCATGTAACATGACCTCTTAAAATCACCTTGTACTTGTTGCAAGAAAATTTTTCATTCCTTCCAAATAAGAAAAAATTATTTTTTTTTATTTTTATTTTTTGGCCCCATTTTGGTAAGAAATTAAAAGTTATTCTTGTTTTTTGGAATATTTATTTGTTATTGTAAAATTATAAGCCATTGCAAAATAAAATTTTACTTCTCCAGTTTAATTTATGCCTCATAATCTGCAATATCCATGAATCTTTTCATAGTTCATTCTACTAGAACATATTTACTCCTGAAATCATGTCCATTAATATCGTTTCTTCATCAAGTATATATTATTAATAGTTCTTCTATCTCTCTCAAAATTAATTTTGTAAACTAACTTTTAGTCTAACTTGATGAGCATAAATATTGACTAGTTTTGTAATATCTTTTTAATAATAATCCTAATGGTAATCATCTTCCTCCAATTCCTATTCACATCAACAATTTTATCTCAAACTCCTCATCCTTTATTATCCTAATCTTATTCCTAGCATACAATAATTTATAAGTTTTCCCAATATTCTTGAATTTTACTCATTTCCATTTAATTTCTTCTGAGCAATTAATATTTATTCTTCTTATTATATTTATGCTTACCAATTCTCTTATCTTTTCATCCAGAAATTCTCATTTTTTATGTATCAAATTTAATAGCAGATTTAGGCCTGGCCAACATTTAAATTATGCACTAGAACTTAACTCTTAAAAGCAAGGAATCTTGGAAGAGTGGGAATTTTGAGAATCAAAGGTTATTGCTCTTTAGAAATTGCATAGGTGTGAGAATTAAGGATTGGAAGGGGCTGAAGGAGTTTGACAAAGTTGATGGTATGGGATTTTCAATTGGGGGGAGAATATTACGAGTGATAGGAGTGTGAATTTAAGAGAAAAATGAGGGTTCTCTTTAATTTTCATTTAGTAATAAATTGAGTTTTTTTTTTTTTTTACTTCATATTCTTATCCAATGAAATAAGAGTACATCAATAATTTGAATTAACTAAAATTTATATCAAGATAATCGTAATAAGTATAATTGTATATAAATCTTATCATATAACTAAAATAAAAGATAATCTTAACAAAAATGAAATCAATATTATTATTTTTCATTTTAATCTAATTATAATCTTAATGCATGTTTCGTATCATGCAAACTCTCTCAATATTGATTAAACTCTTTTATTAAAGAGTAATGACTGAGCATTTGCTTGGAATTCTAGTATCCAATGAGGAGGTAGTGGAATTAGTTCATTAGCATCTCTTGAATTATCAGCTTTGGATTTTGTGGCATTGCTGAGTGTCCCATATTAATATAGCAATAATAGTAGTGGTACTACGAACTAGTCTAGCTATAATGCAAGAGTTGTTAGAACAACCTAAATATGTGGGGTTGAATCTAGCTTTAATATAAGAATTTGCATGTGGATAACAATTTAGTGATTTTGGGTGATTGCAGAAGAGAGTTTAGCCTTATAACATAGAGTTATATTTATGGATGTATACTTTGAGAGTATAAAGAAAACCATTGAAGGAAATAACTATTTTGAAATAGTGTGATGGAATTCAAGTTATTAGATTTTATTAATCTTTTAAGCTAGATTATTACGAGTGAAAATTTATAATTTATTAGTTCGACCAAAATGGGTATGGGATGGAGACGATAAGATAAGTTTTGTTAAAAAGATTACCTTAGGGGATTTTTTAAATAGACAACGCATTAATAAGTGAACTTGATGGAGCATTAATAAGTGAACTTGATAGAGGAAGGAGCTACACAAGGTCATGAAAGAAAAATAAATATTTTAAATACCAATAAAAATTGAATGCTATTGATCATTATCTTGACCGAAGTAGAACTAGAATCTTTTCAAGTAGTATTGATGTGTCATAAACAAATTTTTATCAAGCACGATTCTCAATGTATTTTTTATTAGGGATCTTCAAAATTCAAATTCAAAACCATTTGGGCATTGATTTCAGCAAGTTTATAGTCAAATTGATTGTCTCGATAATACAAACTCAATGATATCAAAATGAGTTCAATCTGGGTCCAATCAAGTCGTTGAAGCATAATGGGAGTCTTTGTATTTTCAATTGAGTGGTTAATGAACTCCAAGTTGACATATTGATACTCGATAAGTCTCTCCCAAACTTTAAATCTAAGATTCACAACTCAATCTCATGCATAAACCTGACCTTAGATATATCAAACCTTTTTATACTCAATAATTATAGTCAAATTGATTGTCTCGATAAGACAAACCCAATGATATCAAAATAGGTTCAATCTGGGTCCAATCAAGTCGTTGAAGCATAATGGGAGGCTTTGTATTTTCAATTGAGTGGTCAATGAACTCCAAGTTGACATATTAATACTCGATAAGTCTCTCTCAAACCTTAAACCTAAGATTCACAACTCAATCTCATGCATAAACCTGACCTTAGATATATCAAACATTTTTATACTCAATAATAATAATAATAATAATAATAAAAGCTAAACTGCTCTTCGGCGTACAAAAGATAAAATTGTTCATAAGTTAGGCATCATCCTCAAGGTGGGAAAATGAGAGTGTTTCTCACCCTCCAGCACAGTTATCACTATTTCTTCATCCTCTACCTCCTCGTCATGCACTGTGAGAACTTGTAATTTTGTTTCCTTGCAACGGTGTCCTGAGGTTAAACTTTTCATCACATTGAAAATATAATCCCTTTGTTTGCTTCTCCAGAATTTGTCTCTATAAGGCAATTGAGTGTTGTTTCTGGTCATGTCCCATTATTCTTGTCCCGTGCGGCCTCCGTTTGGACTTCTACTGTTTGAGCTTTTGGTATCGTCATGGTTGTAGCCGTTCGACAATGCTTCATCTATGCTGCTCCTGTTGGCCTTTTTCATTAGTTATTATCCTCCACCATCTGGGCTAGCTCCATCATCCCACTCAATCCTCGTCTTAATAATCAGAGTGTTGTCTGTATATTATTAAATTTCCCTCAAATCCTGCTTCAAAAATCCCTTACAATCATCCAGAAAATAGTTCAAATCTCTCACTATCATGGCTGTCCCCTCCTAAGTCAAGGAATAAAATTGCTCGCGTAGGTCTCATGCTATTTTTTTTATTTTTGTGCGTTGTATCTTCGTGCAGCGTTAAGATGTTGAATCATTACTCTACGGCGATGAATTTTATGACACAATAGTTTGACGTCGTCTGTGGGAAATGAAGTTTCGTTAATAAAAATCTACACTTCTTCAATAACTGGCAAACGTAATACGTAAGCTTCTTGCTCTAGTACTTACCATTCCAAGGCACGGTCTCAAAGTGTGACGGTAAGCCTCTACTTTGTTTCCATCACCAACTATCAAATGAGTCTCCTTTGCACCTCTTGATGATCTTGTATGAAGAATGCATAAATCTCAAAATGTGAGATTTTTATGTGAGGCTTGAAAACCAACAGCAGTGAAAACTTGAGAGGCGCAATCACCTCAAAATTCACTAATTATAGATACATAGTTATAATCCCACCACACGTTGAAATTCCTCCTCATGAAACTAACATCTTGGATGTTGCTAGCTCTACACATTCATCCCATGTGGCCAAGTCTAGCAGTAAACTTTCAACACGTGTGGAGAACTTAGCTCGATCTCATATTGAGTTACGAAGTCTAGTATTATAAGAGTTCCTTTTAAGATATAAAAGTAATTTTTCTATTCGGTGTAGTTCTTAAGTGTCTTTTCCTTTGGATTTAATAATCCTTCAACACCATATTCTAATATGGTTTAAGCTTCAAAACATTGATACTTATGATGGGACATCTGACTCATATGAACACGTTGATTATTTTAGAACAATCATGTACATACAAGGACCTTCTAACGTGTTCCTTTGTCTAGTTTTTTTTATTATTTATAAAGGCTTAGCACGTACTTGGTTTTATTCACTCCTAAGGGAGTCTGACACCCGTTTCTTGCTGAGATCTATTATCAAGTCATAAATGCTTGTTGATTTTGAGGTTGAATATACAATCCTCGCCCATATTGAGGAATTTATTCCGACTTCAAAATTTTCCCCATGGACTTTGTATGTCAATGGAGCCTCTAAAGTTGGAGCTCGTGTTTTGTTTATTTCTCTTGAGCAAGACATTTTGGAATATAGAATTGACCTTAAATTTTCTGCAATAAATAAACATTGTTGAGTATGAAGCCCTCATTTTGGGTTTAGGCTTTCCATTGATTGCAGAGTTCAAGATATAATTGTTTATACTGATTTTCAACTTATAATTTTTTACGTGAAATGGGACTGCAATATTCACAACTAGAATAGTACATTTGCTTAGTTACATCACTCGTTGCTTGTATCTAGATGTATCAAATAATTCACGTACTTTGGGAATACAATCCCACCTTGATGGCTTTTAAGCATAACTCTCGCAACAAGAGAGTCATCTGCTCTTGACGGCCACCATTCTAGGTGATGATGTCAAAGCCATAACGCTAGGCCTCCGCTTCTCTTTTGTTGGATGAACATTACTCTATTGATGAAGCAAAGTCTTATCTATCCATTGAAGACCATGTCCTGATAATGAAAGAATCTCAAAATGAAATTCTTCAACTCTTTTACGAGGCTCGATAATTGACATAGGTGTTAACTGGTGAAGCTTACTGAAGTGTAGAATCAACCATTGACTGGAGAAGCCTGGCTAGAAAATATTCTTTCAGTACTCCCTCCTCATACTGAAGTTTAGAATCAACCTTGTTAAGAATCTAACCTCCTCAATATTGTGAGTTACACACACCTATCTCCCTTATTGACCTCCCAATCAGGGTGCACTTTTACTAAAGTCATGATCATACCACTGAAGCATGTTATCATTTATCAACTTAAA